CGCCCATTTGACATTCTCAGCTGTCAAATGCTATTCGTGAGTTTCCAAATGCCATTCGGGTCTGTGAGCCGAGGTGTCGCATGAAAAGCATTATCACACCTCGGCTCACCGACCCGAATGGCTATGTGGAACTATTTCAATAATTGCCTAGAACTGAACATTTTCAGGTAAAAGTCATTTGAAATCCTACGATTGACATGTAGAAGTTCTTCAGAAGTTATTCTCTGCTATTCAGAAATAATCCCAATTGTTACTTGAAAGCTTTGCAGCCAATTCGATTTTCCCCACACATTCCTATTGGCCAGAGAGGCTGCCTATCATGGTGGTGGGCCAATAGTAATGGAGCAATGGAAGGACCAGGTAAGCTTCAACACTACCCAGTATGGCATTTCCGAGGCAATATCACGGAGTTTGCTGGAAAAACAGTCACCCAGGAGGTTCCAGAATTTAAATTGTTTTGCAGGGAAGAAGCTGGCCTTTCATTTTCTTCTGGTTGTTCTGGATTGTAGCTGGGATCTGGATCTCTGGAGATTTCTTAGAGTTCTGGGTGGAATGAAATCTCCAGTCTTGAGGTCAGGTTTTGCCGGTGATCAGATGGCTGAGAGCAGCCTCATTAAGAGCTCAGACCAGAGCTCAAGGGAGGAGTTGGTGTGGGCTGCAGATACACGAGAACCAAGCCTGGTGTGGTATGTGCTGGAGTTACATGAGGAACAGCCTGGGAGGCTGGAAGGTTTGGAGAGGCTGGGAGAGCCAGGCACACAAGGTGTGTGTTGTAACTGAAACTTGCTAAATGGTACAGAGTATTCCTGAAAAGTTTTTGTTGAGGAAAACAGTAAAGTCCTGGCCCTTGGACACTGTGACTGAACAGGACAACCTGAGAATGGTGAGATAATCTGTTTGCTGAAGTACAAGCATACTGTATGTTGTACTGCTGAAGAAAGCTATATTATGTTGGACTTCCTTGGTTGTCTGCCTTTGAAAAAATAAAAGACTGTTCTTTTTCTGTTAACCCGGCTTTGAGACTGATCCTTAAGTGCTCACCATATGTGCTAAATTCCCCTACCATCACACCAGGTATTCCCCCCCCCTCCCTGCGCCTTACCAGGCCACATGCCCTCGGCATTGGGAGGGTTTCCCCATGCCGATGGGGACAAGGGCCTCTTCCTCACAACCCTGACCCGGTGGTTGTGGGGGTCTGCGGGCAAGGGGGCGTATTTGCATAGGGGTACCTCTTTAATTAAGGGGGCACCCAGATGCCGCCCCCCCCCTTTGTGAAAGAGTAAGAGGTATTTGCACCCCTACCCATTCACTAAAGGGTTAAATAAAACAGTTAGTAAAAACTCCAGACTTTTGATAAAATCCTTTTAATTGAAAAAAAAACAAAGCCAATTTTTGACTATACCTTTAATTAAAATTAAAATGGCTCCATCGATGTAATCCAGCGTTAATCAGGATGCATGACACCTGCCAACCAGCTGCAATAAAAAAAAGTCCCACCGCACGTCGTCCGAACCCGTCGAAAACGCGCCATTCCTGCTCGAAAGTAAACAGATGGGCGGAGCGAGCCATGACGTCACGGCTCGCTCCGCCCATTTGACATTCTCAGCTGTCAAATGCTATTCGTGAGTTTCCAAATGCCATTCGGGTCTGTGAGCCGAGGTGTCGCATGAAAAGCATTATCACACCTCGGCTCACCGACCCGAATGGCTATGTGGAACTATTTCAATAATTGCCTAGAACTGAACATTTTCAGGTAAAAGTCATTTGAAATCCTACGATTGACATGTAGAAGTTCTTCAGAAGTTATTCTCTGCTATTCAGAAATAATCCCAATTGTTACTTGAAAGCTTTGCAGCCAATTCGATTTTCCCCACACATTCCTATTGGCCAGAGAGGCTGCCTATCATGGTGGTGGGCCAATAGTAATGGAGCAATGGAAGGACCAGGTAAGCTTCAACACTACCCAGTATGGCATTTCCGAGGCAATATCACGGAGTTTGCTGGAAAAACAGTCACCCAGGAGGTTCCAGAATTTAAATTGTTTTGCAGGGAAGAAGCTGGCCTTTCATTTTCTTCTGGTTTTTCTGGATTGTAGCTGGGATCTGGATCTCTGGAGATTTCTTAGAGTTCTGGGTGGAATGAAATCTCCAGTCTTGAGGTCAGGTTTTGCCGGTGATCAGATGGCTGAGAGCAGCCTCATTAAGAGCTCAGACCAGAGCTCAAGGGAGGAGTTGGTGTGGGCTGCAGATACACGAGAACCAAGCCTGGTGTGGTATGTGCTGGAGTTACATGAGGAACAGCCTGGGAGGCTGGAAGGTTTGGAGAGGCTGGGAGAGCCAGGCACACAAGGTGTGTGTTGTAACTGAAACTTGCTAAATGGTACAGAGTATTCCTGAAAAGTTTTTGTTGAGGAAAACAGTAAAGTCCTGGCCCTTGGACACTGTGACTGAACAGGACAACCTGAGAATGGTGAGATAATCTGTTTGCTGAAGTACAAGCATACTGTATGTTGTACTGCTGAAGAAAGCTATATTATGTTGGACTTCCTTGGTTGTCTGCCTTTGAAAAAATAAAAGACTGTTCTTTTTCTGTTAACCCGGCTTTGAGACTGATCCTTAAGTGCTCACCATATGTGCTAAATTCCCCTACCATCACACCAGGTATATCAACACTTGACCCAATCAAAACATCCTGGTATTAGGGCAAGGCAAGTCGAACTAAATGCTGCACCCCCGGGTGTTTTCCTCATACCAGTCAGCAGTTTTTTGTCTGCTTGAAGTTTTTTTTTGTGTTCAATGACAATTACCGTATTTTTCGCTCCATAAGACACACTTTTTTCCCCCCAAAAGGAGAGAAATGTCTTATGGAGCGAATCCCGACACATGCAGTTTCGGGCGCCGGGCGAGTAGTAGGAGCCATTGCTCGTTTAATACGAGTGATCTAATGAGATCACTCGTATTAAAACCGAGCAGCGGCGGCGATCGAGATCACCATAGAGCAGACGAAGAACGGATGTTCTTCGTCTGCTCTGTGTGATCACTGAGACCGCTGTAATAACAGCGCCACCTGTCTCAGTGGTCACTAACTGCAGCTTCTGTCACAGAAGCTGTCACAGAAGCTGTGACAGAAGCTACGGTCTGTCGAGTGCACCATAAGGCACACCGGACATCCCTGCGTCCTATGGTCCCGTGCGTCTTATGGAGTGCAAAATACGGTATTTATTATTCTTTATAGATGTTAGAAATATAACACAACTTGTGAGTGTTATTAGTAACTCTTTTATTACTTAACACTGTGTGTCATTTACAATTCCATTAAACAATGTATTTGTATTTTCATACAGGACATGTGTATACAGTGACAGAAAAAGAAAATATACCATTGGAGAAAGTTAACTAGAACAGCAATTTCCTTAAATTAACAAAACCTGGAAATACAGAGCACTCTGAAACGATTACAGAGCCTAAGGGCTTGAAAGAAAAGCAAGGCAACACCGCCAATGACGAAGATTGAACTCGACGGACTTGAGTTTTTTTTCAGTCTGACCAACTATGTGATAATCAGCATGGAATCACATTCTTCCCATTTCCTGCTCAATTTATCATTATTATTTTACACCCAGGAATGATGAACACAAACTAAGGATTATCATTAGAGAAGATGAGACATCTATAGTTCTGGTGGCCAACTATGTCATTACATGCCGCTGTCATCGAGGTTGAAATATTAAGAAAATATCCTCAACAACCAAATCTTTGTCCTACTATTTCAACCAAATAAAGTCCAAACTCCCTTATACCCCCCATTACATGTACTGTGGAATGTTATCTGTCATGTAACGGTGAGTTCTGTGGCATGCCATCAGCTTCCAAGAATGCGTCTGCCATCACGACCATTAGAAAGGTGGGAAGTTTACATTATTGGCGGGACTGGAGGACCTGGGACACACAGGAATAACTCTGCTGTTCTACTTTAGATCATTATTGTATCATTATCATCATTGTTGTTCTTTTGTTATTACAATCTCCTCATATTTAAGCAAAACTTTACACAAGAGTCCCTTGACTAAGATCAGGAGATTGTAATCAGAAGTCTAGCATGCAAGTCATTTACAAACAAATGTGTTTTTCTGCTATCTTAAACCAGACCTTCACCCCCTTTGACAAAAAAAAAAATCACAGTAACATGCACCTCTGCATGCTGATATGAAAGCGTCTCACATTTATTAGTTAAACAAACTTGTTTTGCTTATACTTACAATGACTGTTTCTCCACTTCCTGGTTGAGTAGGGCACTGGTGATGCAGCCTTGGTCTCACAGATGCATCCTGGAAATGCTACATCACCAGTGCCCTCCTGGGAAATTGTATCTGTAGACTCCAAAATTTTAGGGGAAAGGCATTTTTCGAATGATGTCACATGTTCCAGGAGGCAGACCCAGACTTGCAATAAGTAAAGGAAGTTAGATGCATCTGACCTTAGTGAAAATGGCCGCTGTGTGAATGAGGAGGAAAAGAGAAATAAGGTATGCAGAGAATAAAAAGTTGGCAATGATCTAGAAGTATGTGTGTGTAGATTGTCATCACTAAACATTTCTACTTGTGTCTTTGTTGTCATTTTTAAAGATAAGGGTGAAGTTCCTCTTAACGGTTTGAAACACATTTCATAATGAGCATTTCCACATTTCTGTTTACATTTTGTCAAAAGTATAGAAATTTCTGGAACTCTCTTGTGTACCCAAATGCTTCCTCATATAAAGTCTGCCAGTGTCTATATTCTGCCAGTGTCTATATTCTGCCAGTGTCTATATTCGACCATGGATGGTCAGGACTTTAGGTCACCTTCTCCAAAACCTTATTTGGACACGGACAGGTATTGGTAACAAAACCACAAGAAAGGTGTAAACTTATTTAAAACTGTGGTTAGGAGGTGGTCATAAGTAAGTTAACCCTCGGAAGGAAATGTAAATGTTCAATTGGTCATTTCATCTTTGTAACTGCCCATCAAATGATGTGCCTAACTAATTATGTTAATTTCCCTGCCTTACAATCTCATGTATTTACTGTAACAAACCAGAACAAGTTTCTGTTTTTAATTGTTCCTACATGTGTGTTAAAATAAATGTTTTAATATCTGACAATGAGGAGTCCGTGTTCCTGGACTTTTGAGCTGAAAAAGCTATATTATAAGACAGCCAACACATTAGGACCATACTACTTTACACTTCATAAAGACTATGGTGGTAAATTTATCAAAACCGAAGCAGACAGAATCTGAAGCCACTGTGCCCGGCAACCAATCAGCTTCTATCTCCCATTTTCAAAGCTTCACTGAGCAGTTTGAAGAGAGAAGCTGATTGGCTACTATGCGCAACTGCTCCAGATTGTGCCGTGCCTGCAAAATAAAATCTCTGCCACCATTTGAAAGGAGGAGACAGATGGACTGTTACATGATGAAGGTGGAGCCAGTTCCCTTACAATGACAAAGCTTGGGGGCTTCATGGGATATGACTGTGACCAGTCTCTGAGGTTGGGTCCCTGAACGGTGACCCCCTGCACATCTGAAATGTAATGTATGGTGGAGACCTCCCCCTGTCCCTGTTTTATGAGGTGTACAAACCCCACCTGTCAGTATTACCTGTTACTACTTATTATAATGTTACCTTTTGATGAATGTGATGCGTTCATATTTAAAACTGAACTCTGACACAAAAACTTTATGAAAACGTATTTCTCAATGGACACAAAGAATATAAATTCACTTTGTGTGTACTAAATACCTTGTCAGACTAGGTTATTACCTTCTAAAAGGAAGTGGAAACATCGTCGCTGTGCATAGCCTGTGTAGAGTGCAGAGCTGTGGGAAGGACCCAGCAGGCTACACCCACTACAGGCTGCCTGCAGAAAAGGCGGTGGAGACAAGACCAGTCTATCCAGATCAGACCTAGATTACTGTGTAGGATGCCATGATATACCTGGATTACCACAGTGGACGCTGTCATATACCTGGATTACCGCTGGATTAGGCGGCCGGGACGCTGTGATATACCTGGAACGCCTAAGTGCCAAAAAGTCCTGTTCATCACGGAATTTACAAAATCTGCAGCTTGAAGCTAAGTACTATTTTAGTGTTTCCTCTCTTAGAAAGCATTACATGTAATAGCAGGATAGTGTAGTGCAGGGGTGCCCATTAGGTAGATCGTGATCTACCAGTAGCTCTCAAAGCTGATGCTGGTAGATCACGAAGGGTGTGAATGGCGGCCCCTTTATTACATTTTCGTATATTTATTTAGCTGTGCACACATGATTACCGTATATACTCGAGTATAAGCCGAGATTAGCCTGAGTCTGCTGAGCCCAGCTCCCCGACACCTTTCTGGTGAATTCTGGTGTTTGAAGTGCTATGTATTACATCAAAGAATATTAGTTTACACAGCTTGTTCACTGCACTGTTTGCAAAATACAGCAATGTGTGCCAGGAGAGAGAGCGGGGAGAGACAGACAGGGGAGAGAGCAAGGAGAGACAGCAAAGAGAGCAAAGAGAGACAGCCAGGAGAGAAAACGAGGAATGACAGCCAGGTGAGAGAGGAGAGACAGCCAGGAGGATGAGCAAGTAGAGACAGCCAGGAGAGAGAGGAGAGACAGCCTGGGGAGCGAGGAGAGACAGCCTGGGGAGCGAGGAGAGACAGCCTGGGGAGCGAGGAGAGACAGCCAGGGGAGAGAGGAGAGACAGCCAGGAGAGAGAGAGCGAGGGAGGTTTTTATTTTGTTGGTAGATCTCATGTAGCTTGTCATTTTAAAAGTAGATCTTAACACAAAAAATTGTGGGCACCCCTGGTGTAGTGGGTGAATGTGATTGTTTGTTTGTAGCAGCCTGTATGTATATTTGTTTTTCCTGTAATTAAGTTTGTACACGCAGCATTTTCGCCAAGTAAAGTACTTTAAATGTTACTTGGGTCAGTTTCCTTGAAGCTTTACTGCAAGAACAGACAACAAAAATACAAAATTAAAGTTTTGCCAAGCATTACACCTAGGCTCGTCCTTGGGATACTCTTACGTCTCTGGGATTTGTAGTCCAGAGCAAAACACCTGGAAATGGTTAAAGAGTTCTGCTGGAACTGTTTGTCCCACATTAGGTTCAGCTGCAAATCCTGGTCCGGCTGTTGTCAGCTTCACCCGTGAAGTTTTCTGGCTTGGTCGGGAAGGTGACAGTTTTGAGCTTCTGGACATCTTCCCAGAGCGCAGCAGAAAAACAAAACTTTGGACATCAAATTTGGTCCAGGCGATTATGGTCTAATAAATTGGGAAAAAAGGTTGTCAGATGCCAATGTGAAAGTGGCTAGCTGAATGGGGTGGCAGTTCTCCTTGAGGGAAAGGGTTGATTTAATTAAGACCTACCTGATTCCAATGTTCTTGTGTGTATGCGTTGTCTGCCTCTTTCCAGCATCTCTCTATGCGAGGGTCTACAGATGTTTTTTCCAGCTGTTTTGGGGAAACAGGCTTAATCTCATCAAGAGGGATGTTACCTACCTGTCCAGGAGGAAGAGTGGCCTAGGGATGGTCAACCCGATAGTCTTTTTCTCTCTGATGTTACTGAAACATAACTTTGGTAATATGTTAGCAGAGAGACCGCCTGGATGGCTGGGCATTTTCAGGTCCTGGTTTAGACCCTTTTTGCAAGACTGGTAGAGTGGTGGGCCAGTGAAAAGCCTGAGGGTGAAGCATGGTGTGCTCCCTACCTATGTTACTCTGTGCCTGAAGCTTCTTAGGCAGTGGAGTGTGACGGCGGAGGATATAGAGTCTCTTTCGAAGAAACTACTTGAGGGGAGGGTGGTAGACTCTGTTTTTCATTCATCACTAGCATTGAAGGATTGCCCAGGCCCAGTGTTGAGTGAAGGGTTGAGTTTGTTGAATATGGAGAGAATCCCTTTCACATTTAAGGATTTGGTCTCACTTGAGCTCCATGGCAGGATGTATGTGCGGGGAAACTTGAAGTGCCGCTGTGGATGAGAGAGGCTGTCCCAGAATGAAATGTGGGGACATAGTTGAGTCCATGGACCACTTCTTCCTTCAGTGTTCCTTAAACATTCAGGTCTATCAAAAGCTAGGGAGGTCTCTGGGTATTGCTTTTCTCGCCTGCATGAGTTATGAGGAGTGGGTGTACGGGGCATATCAGAGTCACCAGGCTTTTGATTTTGGACACTCTTTTTTTTTAGTGTAGTGGTCTGTTACTTCACTTGGAATGCACGTTGTCAGGCTTCCATCCCGCATAAAGTCCTCCCTGTAGAGGTGGTGGTGCACAAGATTCTTGGTGAGGTTGGGAAGATCTGGGGTCTTGAGAGAGATGTCAATGGGGAGACTGGATGAAGGCGTGAAGGAACATCAGGCCTTTGTAGTTGGCATTCTGTCTCTCTCTGGGTGTGTGGCTTTTCTTATGTTTTCTTCTTCACTCCCTTAGATTTTCATGGAATAGAACATTTTTGAAGAAAGACTACATACATAGGTGTGGGGAAGGTTTCTGCTTAGTACTGTTTAGTATGGTGTTGATAGGACATTTCTTTTTGTAATTAATATTCTTTTGATCTTTGTGTTTTAATTTTGGCAAAATGTGAGTTTGGTCTGAAATTCTTTTAAGATCTATGGATTATGTTTTTATTATTTATGTTAGAGTCCCTCAGGAAAGTGACTCCCAAGCGACTTGAACACTTAGGGGGACTTAAACCACTAGTGAGACTTGAACCCATGACCCCTGACAGGACTTAAACCCAACACCTCTGGTGGGACTTAGCTTGTTAAGGTTTCCTGTTATTTATTCGCACTGCGAGCTTCAAGTACTTGGGAATATAGAAGCACATGAGACGTGTATTCACTCTATATTCAAAGGTTTATTGTTAAAACAAAAGATTACATGTGACGCTAAAGGGGCGATGGTGGAGCATAAGCCAATAAAACGTCATGCACGTATACAAAGCAAATTACAATAAAATGGACCATAAAACAGCTTCAGAGGAAGTTAACAGAAACATTTCAAGGTCGTACGTTTTACACATAGAGATATGAAAAAAAAAATACAATGTACTTTTACTGATTTTACAATTTAATTTGTACTTTTACTGATTTTTGTAATTTTGTATTAAATGAATACGCTGCGTGTTTGAAGATTTTCATATAAGCAAAATTAGCAGCAGTGACCGGTCTTTATTACAGGAAGCTCCAATTCTCACACTGGATTACTGCACAGATCTGGAAGAAATACACAAAGCTCACCAAGATTCAAGAAGAGTACACGGGACTCTTGTGTTTAGATTTTGTTTGCTTTTCCCAGAGTTCAGATTTAAAGTCCAGCTCCGGCCTCAGTGACCCCCAACCTCTAATATATGTCATGCTTTTTTACTTTACTTACTCTTTTACATACTATTTTCTGATGTCTTACAGGATTGAATGCTAGCATGAGAAAACATCCATTTGAAAACACTTGGCAGCAGCAGTTCTCCACCCTTTAGTGTTCCTTAGTGAATGGCGATCTAGATATGAGGAGCAGATACCTCTCCCTCGCTTTCCTACCTGAGATACAAACAGCTTCAAACAGAAAGTGAAAACATACCTGATCCTTACCCTGGATCTTCATGCTACACCCAGATTCCAGAAGATGTCGGGCGCTCAGGCTTTGTTCCTGATTCTTCTATGCCAGGCGTGTAAGTATAATGAATCTCTTTATTATAAAGTCATGCTTGAAATGTAAAAAAAGCTGGAGAGAGATCCCAAGCATGTTGTGTCCTGTTGTCTTTTGCATGAAGTGTGTTGGGGTCCTTCTATTAGGAAGGCTTATGAATAGCCCACATGGGCAGCCAATGGTCACATTTAGGTTGTTGGTTGGAATCTAGAAGCTTGAATCTGAGCTGCAACAAAGACAATATTGTAACATTGTTTTATGAAAGAGTAAGTCTGCCCTTATTGGAATGGATCTTACTATCTGGTATAAGGGTCATCCCGGAGCAAGTTGTAGAACCACGACATGGAGTATGATACGACTGATTTGTTTTGGTTTATCGGTACCCGGGGGTTATATCTTACAAGCTGTCATTAGGTGGTCTGATACATTGTACTGTAATATCTGACACCATAATATCTTCGCAACGTCTTGATGATGAGCAACCATAAAAATGCTCCATTTAAAAAAGCAGACACCTTACTGTATTTAAAGCCCAACTGCAGGCTCAGAAATGTTTATTTATATATACTGTACAGGTCAACACATACATTGCTGGATTATAAACTACTTCAACAAATGCTATTTGCTCTTGTTGCCAAAGATAGGATGATTTTGCATACTTTTCTTTTAAGGTTTGTACTTTGCGTTAGTTTATAAAAAGAGCCGTCCATGAACCCATCGCACTCCTGACCACTTTTTCCATATAGATTAAAGTGGGTGCAGCGGTGATCAACGGATGCCAGCCGTTATCATACACAAAAAGAAGAATGGACACCGACACACGAGTTGCAATACAGATGCATCTATTTATCGATGAAAATGCAGCATAATCACACTCAGTGCAACGTTTTGGGGTCTCGCAGGATCCCCTTCCTGTCTGAGAAAGGGGATCCTGCGAGACCCCAAAACGTTGCACTGAGTGTGATTATGCTGCATTTTCGTCAATAGACGCATCTGTATTGCAACTGGAGTGCCAGTGTCCATACTGCTCATAGTTTATAAAAGGAGAACCCCAATCCGGAATTGTCTAAATACAATTATGATAATAAATATGTACATATCTGCTGCTATATTTCAGTTCTTTTGTCCAGTCTCGTGTTGATTTTTCTCTTTGTTGGTTCAGGTTCAGCGCTGAATGTGGTGGCACCCAGAACTCACAATGCTTTGATTGGATCCACCACTCTTCTCCCATGCTATTTCACGGTGGACAGTTCTTCCATAAACCCCCAGTTCCTGGCCATCTTGTGGCAATGTGGAGAAAAAGAAGTATTAAAATATAGCTACAAAGAGAAATCTTCCACCCCAATGATGTCCATCGATGAGCACGAGGCTAGACAGGGAAACGCATCACTGACCATTCACAATGTGACCATTGCTGACCAGGGGACCTACACGTGTTT